AAACCCCATCGACCAACAAATCAGATTTTGAAGGTTGGTTTAATTTTGAAGGTGTTGGTGTTCATGTTGTTTTCTTGAAGATGACATCGTCGATTTTGCTGGTGGTTTGTTCAATGCCTTTACCGGTGATTTCGCTACCTACCCATGGATTTTGCAGGTGACCGAAGAGGGAGTAGTTTACAGCGACGATATGGGTTAAAGGTTTCCAGGGTGGGTGTCGAGGAAACTGGGAAGATAAAGGGCTTACTCTAATTAATTATTACAAAGGATTACTCTGAAAGGCATAAATGTCCATTGACTTTAAAAATATGTGGATGAATCAAAAAGTACTGTGGATTTATCAGCTCCCTAAATAGATAGATAGATTAGTTTGGATTGTATTTTTTTTTTCATTCAACACGTACATTTAACAATTTTACCTAACAATATATTTTCATTTAGAGCCTTTAAATCATTAGGACATTTGAATCATTTAGATTTTACTAAACACCTCTCAATTTTCATATGATATCAAAGTAAAATGGATTTTTACCATTTCACAAGTATTCAACTATTCATATTTATCTTCAAATGCATTTGTCCGCCTCCAATCCTTGCGCTCCTTGCATCAACACTTCACTGTTGGTTATTTTGATAACCAAAACACGGAAGCATAAACTTCGGATCTTTAATCTCGAATCTGATTAAAAGAAAACTTGAACATTAAATAACGATTACATACCTGATTTCATTATGATCTTCGGACCTGGAGAACTAGGGTTGGATTTTCCAGTTGATCTCAAGAACTCTCTCTAAAATCACTCAGTAGACCCTAAACGAATTTACATGTGTATTTTCTTGTGTCTTGATTGATCCTCATCACATGTATATGTAAATTGAGATATACCCTAATGTGAGAGATGAAATGGATCTTGAGGATCTTGATTCAAACCGGGAACTCAACCCACAAGGTAAGTTAATATTCTATAAATCAGTCCATCAACAATTTATATTCTTACCATAATAATTGGATTTAATAATATAGTGTACATCAGGGGCGGCTCAACCAATTTTGGGGCTCTAAGCGAACCCAAAATTTGGGGCCCTTTGATCTTTACTGTACTTAATATTATAAACCTTATTTTATCCGGGCTTGAGACCGAAAAACATAATCTTTAGAAAGATTAACCAAAATAAATGTCAAGATACGATTTAACATAACCAAATCATTAATACATCTAAAAGATACAATTTATCATCAACCACTCATTTTGATTTAATGTATTTAATACACCAAGAGTAACCATTTGTTTGTCGTTTAAAATGTACAAAATTAGGCACTAGATGAACACAAAGTAGCTAGTTCATTTTAAAGATAATAAAATTTAGATATGTGTTTTCATCTACTTGGAGGACATTACGATCCAAATATAATATATATATTAAGTTATTAGTTATATATTTCAAATATCATTTATTGGCATCTTTGTAAATAATTGTGCATTTCTATGGCATTTCGAATCCCTTTCACCATGTTACACCAAGCTCGACAATCTTCACATTACATACTCATACACTAGAGAACCATTTCAATAATATTAATATGTGGATATATACTGATAAGAACCAGTCCTCTCTTAGAGGAAATTAAATTTTTCATAACTAAACTATATATAAGAACTGTTTCAGCAACAGACTTTTGGGATAGAACTTTAGTGCCAAATATATGTTTTAAGTTTGTAATATTAAGTTTTATAATGGGAGAGAAGCATTAATTTCTTGTATTTTGGCTTATCACTCTCCCTATATGGAATACCATTAAAGTTTAATTTAAACCAACTTCATATCATTTTTTTTCATTATCTGGTCTTCCAAAAGAGTCATCATTTCAAATTTCTAACCTAGTGTAGATACAACAGTGTTTGCCTGCTAGTGTAAATACTAACTACAACTTTTTTTTTTGTCAATATTCCTACCATCTTCTTACATATCTTAAAAAGAAAGGCTATTGAGTATTGAATAAATTTTTAAAGGAAATTAACAAAGGTCATGAAGTCAACTAACTAATCTACAAAATACATGGAATTTTAAAATCGAAAAGGAGTCATCTATAGAGCAGTAAAAAATATCAGAAAAAAGTATGTAGAGACAAAATTACTGATTCTTTGATTAAAAACAACAATCAGCCAGACTAGAAGATAATGGAAAAGTCAAAAATTAGAAAAATGGAAAACACATACCGTTTCAGTTGAGCTTGAGACACTGCCCCAGATTTGAACAATCGAGAGGTGGAAGAATACAAGAAGGAAGAAGAACAGAAGGCTGCATTGTTTTGTCAAAATGAAATCATCGTTGTGTTGTGGAATTGTTCATTGTGGCGTTCGTTTTCTTTACCAGAAATCTAGAATTTGGGCCCTAGGCCCTCGCTTAGTTTGACACAAGGTAAGGCCGACCCTGGCGTACATATTTATGAAGTGGTCCCATAATTATCCAACAATCTCCCACTGGACCATAAATATATAAATGTACGTATAATTGTATAAGCGCTTTAATGAATGTTATTATAACATTGGTACCCTTAAACAATCTCGTCCACTAATCATAATAGTATAGGATCAAAGCGGCCTTCGTTACAATTTACGTAGCTAAACCTATCAATGGTTACATATACATATATAATGACATTGATTAAACATGATGTGTGGTTTTAAAATCTAAATAGATTTCCGACGAGTTCCTCTTTAGATTGAAGTGAGATCAAACTTCAAATAAGTGCAACTAATAATAGAGTTAACCGAATTCTTAATTTTGTACAGAAAAACATAATTGTTCTTAAACAAAACATACAACACCATAAAACTCCCACTAAAACCAAATATCACACTAACGTGTGTAGTATGCTCATGAAAGACCTAGTGAGGTAATCCATTTATGAGCGGATCCGCTTTTATAGAGTTTCTTCATATGTGCTATATATATATATATATATATATATATATATATATATATATATATATATATATTTCCATTTTGTACTATTGTATTAACAGAAGGAAACTTGATGTCAATATATTTTGACTTATTAGAACTTTTGTTGTTGGAATATAACATTGCTGACTTATTTTCACAACTTTAGTGGTCTTTCAATACCAATAATGTGTAGCCTCGTGACAAATTTCCGCAACCATATTCCATGCTACAAATTATGTTGCCTTTATAGAAGAAGCTACCGAAGTCTATTCCATGAAATGGCTTATCATGCTAAAATGTAAAAGTATCCCGATATGGATCAGTAACTATTTTGGCATCTAATAAAATCATATATTCATAATAAAAATGATCTCCAAAACATCTGATTTCCTATGATTGAGCATATAGCCTTTTGTTATATATAGATATCTTAAAATCCATTTGGCTACTTTCTTATGATCCAAACTTAGTTTGCGTAGATATCTGCCCAAAACCAGAAAGATAAATTTACTCCCACTTAATCTGTGCTACACACAATCATCTATTGTATTTACCTCAAAACCAAAAGAGATAATAAATTGATGAAAATATGGTACCACGCATAGGATATCAAAAGTTGAGGTTGTTGAGTTTGTGTATTCAGAATAGGAGATTGAATAACATTGCCGATCACTAATTCACAATCTGCATACTATCGAAAGCAATAATAGGAATCAATATTGATTCCTCCTTAAGGACAATGTTTTAACCTTGTTTCTCCCCCAAACTCAACATCCTCAAGGAATGTTGCTCTATCCAAAATGAAAGGTCAATATCCATGCAATTGAGAACTAACATAATGCGTTCATTCCATTCCTTAAAGTTAATCTCATTGATTACATAAATCATAAATGTGATCAATGTTAGCAGATATAATACCATAATTCAAACATGAGCAAATCTATTTTTATGCTCATTAATCCATAAACCGAAATCAATAAATTCAATTTATGACATCTTTACAAGGTATCGACACAACATTAATATCAAGTCTTTGGATAGTAATACTAACTTGCAAGAGATAACATTGTTTTAGAGATAAACATTGACAATAAATGATGTCAATTAACAAGCCCCTCTTTGAATTGACTTATTAATCACATGGAACCAAAAAAAAATCACCACATGTTTATCACCACATATATGTTTATTCGGCCAAATATCAGTCTACCTTTGGGTCGGCTAATACCCGCATTAATAAACACATAAACTATAAATTTTGATAATAAGAATTGACAATATATCATGTCAATAATAAGCTCCTCTTTGGATTGACTTATTAATTACATGTAACCTAAAAATTGTCGCATATTTATCATCAAACATGTATTTATCCGGCCAAATATTAACCTACCTTTGGGTCATTTATTATCTGTATTAATAAACACAAACCATAAAATTTAAGTTCTTTATAAATTAACTTTCACAAAAGAGATCACTTTAGCGATGTATTGTGTCAATTAATTTACTCTGAAAATAAATAAACATGTCATAATTGTAGTTTATTGACAACCTGAAATATTTGTCAAAGTGTGACATTGTGTATAAGGTATACCTTTAGGTGGAACACAATTCACATAAGCAAATATCATATAACCAAATTGATTAAAAATAATAGAGGTTACTTGAGTAACAATATTATATCGATCACCAAAAAAAATATCTATAAGCCAAAAGGTTCAAGTATTCCATCAAAATATGAAGAAATATATAAGAAGAAAAAAAATAGCAATGATATTTCAACCGATAACTAAATAATAGCAACAATGAACATTATCAATAATCCCAAGATTTGCTATAACAAAAATATCGACAGTAAATATTGAGTTTTATCATGCTCAAGATTTACATCAATCCAAAAAAAAGGGTTTTATAGTCCACAAATTTAAAAAATATATATTGTGAGTATCTAAAATTTGTAGATACGTTATAAAACCCATTTATATGGTGACTATTGCATGTGGTTTCTTTATTAGACTTTAATAATCATAAAACCTTTTAATCAAATAAAACCACAAACCTTTGACATTATTACTGAAACTCCAGAAGTGAAGTAGTCAAGTAAATTTTAATTTGTATTTAAATCTCATTTAACCCCTTTACAACAATGCTACACAACAATAATAATAAATAAACAAAAACTAGATGGGAATCATGCGCGCCCGTTGGCGTTGAGTCATTTTATTTTTTCTTCTTTCAGGTTTGGATGTTGGTCCATCCTTATACGAGGGATGTTTATATCAGTTACATAGCAGCAACTACATTAGCAACAGATGATTTATATTAGCTCTATTTTTACCCTTCCAACTTCTCTTTCTTGTTTCTTTGGCCCCTGCAACAAACAGAGATAATAAATGAAGGGGTCTTTGGTCCGAAAATTAATTTAATGTTTAAGAAAAAAAGGCCATTAAATAAGATAAAAACAAAATAAGGATACAACCAACAACCAGTCCCTCGGCTAACTCAAAATCATCTTCCATAGATTCATGTTCCATTTATCAAGTATCCACGACATATCCAAGACAATGAACAAATTATGTAATTTACAATTATATTTAGTGCTCCTAATCTTTGATGTTTCATAGCATATGAATATTCAATTTTTTTTTTTAAATTTGTTTTTATAATCAATGTGAAATAGATAATGTACCTTGTAAAATTACGTTCCAAGATCCTTATCTTGATCGAAGTCTAACATGAAATCAGTCAACTTTTGAGAATCGGCAATAGCTTCCTCCAATGTCATCTTGCCTTTCCTTGGACAATTTTGACCTATTTACAAAAAGGGGTCAATTATTGTTCAAATGGGTAAAAGGAGAGAATACAGATAAAAAAGATTACCTTTGATTTGCAAAGGTCAGGAGCATTTTTCGACATTCTAAAAATTTTCCCTCATCATCACTATCCTATTAAAGGAAAAACATTATTATTATTATTATTATTATTATTATTATAATTATAATAATAAAAACAGTCATAACGAAATATATTACCTAATTTTCATCAATGTCAACAGATTTACCCGTACCTTCATCATCACAAACTGCTGATTTAACCTGTTTACAAAATTAAAACAGTGAAATGAGTAATTGAAAATAATACATTGACGAAAACAAAAATCAATAATAGAGGCTTATTTATTACCTTTACTTTTTCAACCTTCTCTGATGCCAATGTTTCATCAATTTCATCCTTTGATGTTATATTTCCATTCTGATCAATAATAGAAAAGTAAATGTTAGCTTAACTAATGAAAAATTATATATAAAATAATTTATTTTAAAAAAAAGGTTAAATTTACTAAAAGGACCCCTGTAATCACTTGATGTGGATTGGATAAACCGAATCACCATACGGCTTAACCTGCTCTTGGTTATTTGCACTGGTATCTCCTCCAAATGTAATATCCTAACATATAAATAAATTCAAATATTAATTACATGGTTTTAGATTTCCTGAAACGATGATTACTTATGATTTCTGAATATTTGAACTACTTTTTTTTTCAGGGCATCAAAAATACGAAATACAATTATGATTTTTTTTAAGGTATCATATAAAAATATAATTTAAATTTTTTTTTTGGGTTTTACCAACTTACAAACTCACCTTACAGCAAAAAGTTTATATATTTCTTTCTCTTAAAGGCTTTCATTCTAATGAAATGATTTCTTGACAAATGAAACATATTTTTTAAATTCTAATGGAGTGAACCATCCGGTTCTTTCCTATATTGCACAATATCAAACATTGCCTACTTCTAGCAAGTTACTATCATAGAGTGATATGGATCAATACATCGTTCAGGTGGTAAGTCAGCCGTAGTGGACCCAAAAGCCTGGTTTACTTGAATTTTGCCACATCCCTTTCCCCCTCTTCTCCAAATCTGTTACTACACTGTAGGTAGTTGGTAATTGTCATATTCTGTGTAACATCGCAATAGAAGTTCATGAAAAAAGATATAAAAAATTAAACATGTTGCAAAGAACTCCAAAACTTTGGGTAAAGAATAGATGAAGGATGTGACTTTAATCAAAAATTCAGAAAAATGAGTTTACAAATGAAAACTCATATAGACAATGTGTTGAAGTTGAATATAAATGCAAACTTACCTGAACATCCATGCCTCTAGTCAGAACCCCTGCATGCTTGTGACCTAAATATAGTTAAACAACATTCATTAGCCATTATAATATAGTGTTATGTATGATAGCATAATGAGAGAAGTAAAAAAAAAGTTACAAGCATTTGAAGTGATCCATCTTTCTTAATTTTTGGGCCTGGTATGCATCTAATTATGGTCTCAAAAAGTGGTCCAAGATCATCTGCCAAATTATCAGGAGAAAGTCCAGCCATTCCCTTTATGCCACTCGCATATACAGCTTGAAAAACACACTACACGGTAAATGAGATTGTTATATTATAGAATATAGATACAGATAAATGTATTTATCATGTGACATACTTGTTCATCGGATGCATTTAGTTCAATGAAAAGTTCAAAAGTGGAGTTGATGACAAATTTCGGACATGCAGATGGTCTATAGATTTTATTGGCAACAACAACAACAGCATGACCAAATTCAAGAGCTTTCTTCAAAACAAATCTTGTTTGTGGCATTGGGCCTTCAACAGAATCTACCTTATAAACAACCATCATGTAATAGGGAAAAATGAAAGTAGGATGCAATAATCAACAAATCAATGAAAATAATTTGCTATTTCTTAAGCGAGAAATTGATGAGTTTTTAAGAATAATTACCACTAAAATAATTCCTTCCACCATATTGAGGACACGTTCTACTTCACCTCCAAAGTCAGAATGGCCAGGAGTGTCGATAATATTCATTTTTGTATCTTTGTAAGTAATTGATGTGTTTTTGCTGAGAATTGTAATTCCCCTTTCACGTTCCAAATCATTTGAGTCCATTATTCTTTCTTCTACAACTTGATTATCACGAAATACGTGCAACCAACAGTCTCAATGGATTGATTTCCAAATCACAGGCTTTTTAACCCCTAATTTACAGCAGTCAAGGTAAAACTTCAGAAAAACACAACAAAAAACGCTAGTGGGTTTGATAAAAATGTTACCTGATGATGCACAGTCTCAAAGAAAGGGGAGAAACTGGAAGGAGGTGGAGCACGGAGAGAGATGAACGCGAAGAGCTTGTTGGGAATAAAGATAGATTTGTTGTTCCCCTGAAACGATCGAAAAGCCAACATATTAGCAAAAATAGAGATTTCAACGTCATCGAATTCAACTCCAACATTAAAAACAGATAGAAAATTAGGGTTAGTTCTTCCCTTCTGAATCAGATAGATTACATCTGAGAGGGAACGTCGGAGGAAGGCGGTGGCTGAGACTGGTGGTGGCGATGACGTTCAATCATCGGCGTCACAAGCTTTGCCGCGGTGATGAGAAATTAAGGTGGTGTTTGTTTTTTTGTCTGCAGATGGCCTCTTCTGTCTGCGCGCCGCGCAGACCACGCGCAGACATTTGCTTTTGCAGACTGTTTGTTTTTTTGAAGACTGCAGACCTAAAAATGTTTGCGCGCCCTCTTCTTGGCGCAGATGTGGACCAGAGTCTTCTAACATCTTCAGACATCTTCTAGCCTAAAAAACACATATATCTATATTTTTTTTAAGTTTTTTTTTAATTTATATTTTTTCCAACTTTATTAGTGATAAACAATTTGAAAAAAAAAATTACAAAACTTAAAAAAAAAACGTTCGACGACACAAACATGATATTTTTGACAAATTTATAAATAAAGATTTATTACAATAATAGTCGTTGAAGTTGTTTATATAAATATGAAAAAAAAATCATAATATATTCTTATATTTTTTTGCTAAATTTTGTAAAACATTATTTAATACACAATCGTCAAGTTCTCGAGAAAATATTTATGCTACATTTTTAATGGATTTAATTGAAAAAATCGAAGTTTATTTCCATCCATTTATGTATCAATTTCTTTGATCCTTAATTATAATGTTTAGTTATAACTTTGCAACCAAAGTTGTTGGTTTTTATCAAATATATACGTTAATTCATACCATTTTTATTTTTATTTTTTATACAATAATGCATAAAAGTTGATATAGATTTGTTAATTATTTATAACAAAGTCATAAAAATATTAAAAAAAATACTTTGAAGTTTAAAAAAATCAGTTTATTTAGATTTCAGTTTATTTTAGTACCCGCAGATGTTAAAAAAACAAACAGTCTTCTTTTTTCAGACTGCAGACCTTTGGTCCACATCTTCTACTGCATAGGTCTACAGATGTGGTCCGCAGACTGCAGACATTTTGTCTCAGAAAAAACAAACTGCACCTAAGGGGTAGGGGAAGGATATAGAAGATTCTTTGAATATAACATCGATAACATCGGGGGTTTTTTTTGTTGAAAAAAAACGTAGGTGAAAGGCGGTGGCGGTCTGATTGGTTAAAGAAGGCGGTCATAGGATAAGATGGAAAGGAAAAATGGGGCGTTTTTATGAAAAGGAAAAGTTGAGTGGAACCGATGTGGCCAAAGTAGCAAATGAAGGAAAAAATACGGCAGAAATGAGAAATGCAAAAGTTTCCTGTTCACCACCATTTTAGCAAACAATAGTATATATAATATGGGTCTCCACGTCTCGTACCTTTAAATGGGTATAGCCGAATAGGGTGGCTAGTATTGTTATCCAATATACTTTACACACAAATTATATTGTTTTTAATAATTTTCATATTTTCGATTCATTTGTACAGCACAAGGATAAGACTTAAATTCAACTATGAATCAAAACATATATATATATATATATATATATATATATATATATATATATATATATATATATATATATATATATATATTAAACTAATAATAGCATGAATGAAGTTTGTGTAATAACCAATACCCAATAGCTAATCTTGTGTGGTCAAAGTCACATAACAAAATCAAATAAAAAAAAATGAAAGTTGCTTTGGGAAGAAAACCCTTTCCTGACATGCATATATTCATACACTAGTTTATAACCCGTGGGAACCACAGTTACAAAATTAATTAAACTAAACTAAAAATTATTAATCAATTATTTTAAATAAATTATTAATTAAGAGATTTTTTTAGTTATATAAATTTTAATCATTGATTTAAATAAATATATGAAATTATATCATTTTATAATTTGTATTATTTTTATTTTAATTTTTATTATAATGTTATTAATTTAATGTAATTAGAGTGAGAAATTTAAAATTTGAAATGGAGAATAACAAGTGGCATACATTAATTATGAGACATAATAAGGTGACACATGACAAAAGGAGAATAAAATATACATTAATTAGGAGGTTTAATAGGATGACACATGTTAAAATGAGAATAAAACTATTCTTTTATTAGAATAGGGAGATACGGGTATTTGAATCCGAAAGAAAACAAGAGTCAAAATCTCACTCATTCTTTCTCTCGTTACTTGTCAAGAAAACTTATTTGTAATGAAACCAAATAGAAATAACAATAATAATAATAATAATAATAATAATAACAATAAGCAATCTTGACGATACGAAGAAACAGTAAGAGAAACATGTATGTTCAACTATGAAAATAATTTAAGGATCTTAAAAAAAAAAATTATCACTGATCTCAAACCAATCAAATAACCATATTTTCTAGTAACAGATTTGAGTAGACTCTGATACCAATTGTTGGTTATTTTGATAACCAAAACACAGAAGCATAAACTTTGGATCTTTAATTTCGAATCTGATTAAAAGAAAACTTGAACATTAAATAACGATTACATACCTGATTTCATTATGATCTTCGGACCTGGAGAACTATGGTTGGATTTTTCAGTTGATCTCAAGAGCTCTCTCTAAAATCTCTCAGCAGACCCTAAACGAATTTACATGTGTATTTTCGTGTGTCTTGATTGATCCTCATCACATGTATATATAAATTGAGATATACCCTAATGTGAGAGATGGAAGAGATCTTGAAGATCTTGATTCAAACCGGGAACTCAACCCACAAGGTAAGTTAATATTCTATAAATCGGTCCATCAACAATTTATATTCTTATCATAATAATTGGATTTAATAATATAGCATACATATTTATGAAGTGGTCCCATAATTATCCAACATTCACCCCCAGCTTCAAGAGAATGTTCAAATGGCTCCTTGTTTGTCATAAACTACACATTCTACTTTTAACTTTGGTAAATGCATAAAACCGACCAAGTTAATATGTAATAACTCAAATGCCACTTCCACTATTACTTTTAATAACTATTCTAGATATATACAATCGATATTCTAGGCAATTTCATTACTAATCTCGCCCATCATTCAGTTTTTGAAGTATCCTAACACTAGTGATCCTCGTACAACATTCTGTTCGGACTTGTCAGGTTGTGACATTTTCCTTCACTAAACGTCATGTCTTTAGTTTCACTTAGGAAGGCATCATATAATAATTAATCATGTGTGGTTTAAGTATAGAGAAAATGACAAAAATAGCCAATTATCCTAATCACTTTGCGGAAAATAGCCAAAAAAATCGAATTTGCAAAAATGGCCATGAAAATCGCAGATGGGAATGGTCCATCTGCGATTTGCACATTCCATCTGCGAATGTACAAGTGGCTAAAGCATAAGTGTGCTTTAGCCACTTGTACATTCGCAGGTGGATTGAATTTTTTTTAATTTTTTTTTTGTATATATAGGGCATTTCAGGGTTAAAATCGCAGATGGACTGTGTCCATCTGCGATTTGCTCTGTATTCCATCTGCGAATTTGCGTTTTTTTTTAATTTGACTATGAAATCAATTGGTTTGACTACGAAATAATGTTACTATATATAAACTTTTGTAGAAAATTATCAGTTTAGTTGTTATTTGTTTAGGAAATTTCTCTAAAATCTCTCTAAAAAAATGATTGAATATTTGGTTTGTCTTGTAACCGGTGGGAGATGAGAAGTTATTGAAACAAATCTGGAATACATATGTCCACAGGGAGGTATTTCTGAATTTGCTTTGATATTTTCTGAGTATATTAGTTATAGTGATTTTGTATCTTTGGTGAGAAGCAAAATTGGTTTGTTAGACAAATATAGAATTAGTCTTCGTTTCCATCATCCTGAATTAAATTATTATATAGCTATAGTTGAAGACATGGATATTAGAATGTTGATAAATGTAATCAAATGTAGTGGAGGAAGGGCTGTGAAAGTGTTTGTGGTGGTTGATGAAGTAGATGAGGTTAATGAGGGTGGTCACAGTGGAAATCAGCCGGTTGGTAATTTATGCAGCTATAAAGGAAGCAACGATCTGATAGGTACTTTCAATACTCCTAGTGTACCTCAGTTTCACAGTGTTGCTAAAAATGTTAATGTTAGTTATTCACCTATTAACTATGTGGATCCTGAGAATTACAAGTATGTTGGTGATGATGATGTTGGTACATATCTTAGTGATGTGGGTGGTCGTTGTGATGATGTTGCCGAACAAGAAGTTAAACTTATGAATAGGCGTGTGGTAGATAAAAGTAAAAAGAAAAAAATTTGAGTCAAAAAAATGAAAAAAAGCATGTTTACGGGGATTATGTTGATGTTGCTGATGTACGTTTAGATATAACCGACCTACAAAGCAATTCAGATAGAGATGAGTTGGGTGATGAAGTTAAAGCTAAGTTTCCCGATAACCTTTTTTACGGTATACCCCCTGTACCAGCATGCCCAGTTGATATTAATGAAGATATCCCAACACAGATGGTAGACATGAATCTTCAAAAGATTGAATGTGAGAGTATATTTAAGAACAAAGAACTTTTAAAGCGGTGTATTGGTAAAAAATGTCTTCGAGAAAGTTTTCAGACGAGGACAAGTAGATCCACCAAATCAAGGTATGAAGTTGTGTGCGTTTCGAAAAATTGTTCTTGGTTACTAAGAGCAAAAGCAATTAAAAATTCTGATGGACTTTTCCAAGTGAATAAATTTGCTGATGTACGCACATGTTCTTCAACAATTTTGCAACCTAATCATCGACAAGCAAACAAATATGTTTTGGGTGAATATCTTCTGATGTTTTGGCTGAAGACTATAGTAGAGTTTATCGGGGAAAAGATATTATTAATGATATGAATGCTCAATTGAATATCAATATCTCATACCATCAGGCATGGCGTGCGAAGCAATATGCATTGTTGTTGTTAAGGGGTACGAAAGAGGATTCTTTTACCAAACTTCCGGCGTATTGTCACAATTTGGTCAAACATAATCCGGGTACGATGACACATATTAAAACAGATGGTGATGATCGCTTTGAGTTTTTGTACGTCGCACTCGGTTGCTCGGTTAGTATTATAATATTTTATTAATTTTTTCATTTTTATTTTGGTGCATTTGAATAGATATACAATGTATTGTAGGTACGCGCTTTTGTCAAATTTTG